CTACACAAAGCTTTCCGAAGCATGGGACCTCGTTGAAGGTAAACACGATCTATATACGATGTATTTAACAGATGAAGAGCTAGAAATCGCAGAAAGGTGGATCACAGAACTGCAAGACCTTTTTGCTGAAGCAACGTCGTTGAAAATTCAATACATTCATAATTCTATTAGATTAGAAAATGAAGCGCGCGAAAACACTATACGTCATGAATCCGAAATGAAGGAGCGCGCGGAAAACCAGAGAAAAGCAGAAAGAACACTAATGATGCRCGYAAAAGCGCAGACAGTATTTGACACTATATGCAATAATACAAAGCACTTTATTGAGTCCAACGCGATTGMTACGCACTCGCTAGAAAGGTCACTCAAGCAGATAGAAGACGCATATGCCGAGTGCAAACGAGCAAACGACGAAGTTCTAGGCTTTGMCGATCACAAAACAGCGGAGGACGCAATCAAATTCGCAGGTCAAATGCAATGCCGCCTTGATGAAATCACTGGACTCATCATCCCGTGCATCGGACCTGGAGATCAAAAAATAGCTAAACGCGAGACTCCAACGTCATCCAACCTTCAATTAGAAAAAATAAAACTGCCGCGATTTGAAGGTGAAATCCGCGCTTATCCACAATTTAAGCGAGACTTTGAGAAACAAATCATGCCGCATCTCCGTAGCGATGACGTCTCCTACGTCTTACGTTCATGCTTAGGAAGCGATCCTTTAAATACCGTTAAGAGCATTGACGACGATGTAAGCGAAATGTGGAAGAGGTTAGATGAAAAGTACGGAGATCCAGCAAAAGTCGCTGACGTTATAATTGACGGAATCCGAAGGATAAGAATGATAAGAGAAGGAGAAGAAAAGAGGTTCGTTGAGTTTGTAGAAATCGTCGAAGATGGGTACAGAGATCTGAAGCGGCTCGGACTTGAAACGGAGATAACAACAACAAGTTCAGTCAGCATCATAGAAAAGAAACTTCCGGCTGACCTTCGACGCAAATGGGCTGAACTTGTAAGCGCAGACAGCAGTACCGTAGATAAAACGAACAAATTT